GAGGACTACCATACGAGTTCACGGAATTCACGGACGACATACACCAGGGTCCGAAGACTAGGGTATGTCTTCTCACCCTCGTGGTGTCGAAATATCTGACGTCTACACCAGGCACGAAGTCTAGTGCATGAGTTATCTCGACCACGACGGACTCTTAGCGCGGTCACATCGCTTAAACCGACACGAACCTCCAGGGTGCCATGAGTATTCTGATGATGTAAGGACCCATCGGACTCCGTTTCGACCGGGTGACAGTTTAGACTACAAGCTACCTCACATACAGTATATGTTTTATCTCACAACCTCCTACCTGAAATCGTCTGTCGACAAAACGACGGTGGTCCCCATATCCTACACCAGTGTGTAAAAGGAGTCAGACTTACAACAGTTAACCTCCCTACAAAACCCCCAATCCCTGTTATTGACGCAATGTACGACAAACCACCACACCTACGAACCTACACTCCTAATCCCCAGAACAAATACAACCCTACCGATTTGGTGCAGTTCGACAAACATTACGCAAAGCCGTTTCCGACTATCCGTAATGGAGCCATCCAGGAGATAGACGCCCGTCCCTGACTGGTCTCCCGCAACAGCGCGTTAATGGAACCGTCCGAGGATACGTAGCGACCACCCTGTGTTACGACAATAACAGCAACACTCATATGTGGTAAAACGTGTCGACTACGTGCAACTACACACTCCGTCAAACCGGCTACCAAGATTCCTTCTCTCAGAAACTCTCGGGACTGAGTTTCGTTTCTGGTTATTAGAACAATATTTACGACACCACGAGGGGTGAGAAAGACATACCTAGTCAATTCGACCTGTGATGTCGTCTTCTAGGGGGAGAGGAGGCTTTAATAGATTGACACCATCAATACCTGACACCACCGTCCATATAGCCCGCGTATTGTGGTCACCAGGACCTCCTCCGACTGTAAAGCGGTAATATAGAATTACACCAGGTGGTAGAAAACGGGGTCCTTTGGTCGAGTCTCCTGACAAATCCTTAGGATTAGCTGGGAGGATCGGCGCACTAACACCAGCGTCCTGGAGGAGGCTGACATTCCCACCATCACTGCCACCATTGCCCGAAACCAGCTCAGATGGACTGGCCATATTATCCGCATGCCTGACTCTCGCCTCCCAAAACAAGTCCTTTATTCCCAGCTTGTTAAAGGGAAACAGGCCCCTGGAGGCCAAAAGAAGAGGTACAAAGATAACATAAAAACAAACCTAAAGAAGTGCCACATAGACCTAAAAGCTTGGGAAGACATGGCAACAGACAGGGCGACCTTGAGAAACCTTGTCCGTGAGGGTGCTGCACTATACAATGATGACCTCTGCCATGCTGCACAAGACAAGCGCAGACTCAGGAAGGAGAGATCAACCACCAATCAGGTCCAACGCAAACCCTCCACCACTACATTCCCCTGTCCACACTGCACAAGAATAATCGGGTCCAGAATCGGCCTCTATGCCCACCTGAAGACCCACAAGGACCAAGAAGGAGGACAGTCATACTCGACTACGAGTGACCGCCGATGATGATGATGATATGTCCGCATCTGTAGCCTGTTCAGGGGCGCCATGGGTCCCATGAAAATATATCACATTGGTTACCTCAATTTCTTAATGTTCTAAAATAGTTTGGGCCCCTGTCAGTCACGGGCCCTTAGACTCGTCCTAACTTTTCACCCCCTTACGGCACCCCTGAGCCTCTTATTGTCTCATTATACTGCACTGTGAATGAATTACAAGTAAATATATAAGTCATCATGAACACAGTCCATCAGACAGAGGGTTGCTGTGCCTCCTGTTATCATTAACGGACGTCTCTTTAAAATGACCGCTCAGAGGAGAGGAGTTCTCATTTCTCTAACCGCCTGCTGCTTCCCCTCCTCTCTCCTCGGTTCCCCTCCTTGAGTCCTCCGCTCGCATCTCCTGCGGGCGGGACTAAGACAAGAGGATAGGAGTCGAGGAGGGGAGTCAAGGAGCGGATTTAGAGAAATGAGAAAGGGCCCTGATCTTATTGTCTAACCCCCAGTTTCCACCGGGTCCGTCTGCGCCGCGCTGTGCCGCAGCCACTCTAGTCAATGGGTGCTATTCCACTACACGCGCCGCGTTACG